TTAAAGCACTAAAATATGTAGAAAAGTTTGAAAAGTACAATTGGAATGAATAATTGTGCAGGAAAACATCCCTTATACAATTTAGAAAATGTGTTTATTCTAGTGAACTGTTTAGTATACTTCTTTTAAACAAAAATTGAAAACTGTTTGTTGTACTTCTCAGAAATATACTTTATCGCAGGAAGTGAAAAATTGAACTGCACTTGGAATGATTAATTGTGCTGCAAAACATATTTTATACAATTTAGAAAAAGCCAAAAGATTAAAGTCTCAAATGAAATTTCCTGCAGAGCGTAACGTACTTTTATTTCTCTGCTAATTTCACCTTCAAGAACAGAACCATCAAGGCATCTAGAGTTACCAGTAATAAAACACATCTTTATGTAGGTCAACGGGGAATTCCACAACATGCACAGAACAGTGCAGGCACCAGATGCCACACAGGAAGTGATGTGCACCATGGAAACTGAACATGAACAGATAAACTAACAACACATCAGTGTATGGAAGCACATTTATGCTTTGGTATTAGTCAATCATAATTATGACAAAGACAAAAACGCAATTAAATTGACAAAAAGTTGAAATTACGAGTCAAAATTGAGATAAAAAGTAAATTACAAAAGACTTAATTACAATGTTGAACTTTTACGAAAATTATGTTTGTTTGTTTTTTACTTTTTATCTCATAATATCAACTTTTTATCCAATTCTGATTTACCCGAGAATGTTTTGTTTTTTTTCTTATGTAGTGGAAATAGGCTTCATAAGTGTCAGGGAAGGGCGTGAAATGAACTCAAGGCGTGAGAAGATAAGGAGAAGTCAAGGTGAATAAACCTGTCTGTCATTTTGTCAAATTATGACAAAATATTATGCATACATACTATGTTGATTCATTGTATTGCAAAAATGCATATATAATTTGAATAATTTGATTTGAGATGATTAATGTGACAACAACAAATATGACAAAAATGTAATTCTGTTGCGATGCATTTTATACACTGTTGATTATTACTAATGGAAGTGACATAACTAGCAGTGTGTAAAGTTTGCTTTAAGAGACTTTCTTTCTACAAGGAAATTAGGGCCAGTAGTTGAAGAAACACCCATGAATGTACTCGGACGCACACAATGTAGAAAAAAAAATTCTTGGAACCAACTAATAACACAAAGGAATAGGAAGAGGGAACGCCAATATGGAAATATTATTGAAACAATGGAGAGAGAGAGAGAGAGACTGTACTGTGTACACACACACACACACACACACAATTAGAGGAGGCATTTAACAACATTTAATTTCTCAAGAAGGGTGTGTGTTTGAATACACTGAATGTTGATGTGGCTCTGGTGACTGTGTGCATTGTTGGTGTTTGTGAATGTGCATAAAGGCCTTCATTTGTGAAATTCCACCCCATGACGCAGCCTGCTTAACGCAAACGTGACCTGACGAGTCTTGCTGCAAAACAAAGGTTACGGTTCGTGTGTGTGTGTGTGTGCGTGGTCGCACCTTTAGCTGTTGAAGTCTCATTCGCTCATCCTCCATGTCTCTTTTGGCTCGCTCCTGTTCTTCCTGTATGCGCCGTTTCTCCTGAAAGCAGAAATTATAACAGACTTGATGTACGCTTGAAACACCTTTTCAGAATGTTAACACAAGCTAACATGTTCCTTCCTTACTGACATGTACTTTGCTAGAATGAGACTTCCCGCTAGCTGGATACACTTTTGGCAAGGGATGTCACACCAACAGTTTTTGAAGAAATCTTGTTTCTGTATTTTTGGCATGTCATTAGACTGATAAACAATGGAACGGGTTTGACAGGACATTGGACAGGACATAAACCAGCATTCATAAGTTTGGGTATAAGAAGGAATATACATATACAGTATATATATATATATATTTATATATATATATATATATTAGTAAAGACACATAACAGTAAATACATTTCAGTAACACTATACTTAAAGCTTTTATGTGTACTGCATTGTAACAGTATTCATAGTGTATGTTATAATACATTTATAGCTTACATGTTATAATACAATACATATTTTCATAAATAATTGTAACCAAAATTAAAATGCATTAAAGGAGTTGTTCACTTTTAAAAAAAAAACTTTTGCTGATAATTTACTCACCCCCATGTCATCCAAGATGTCCATGTCTTTCTTTCTTCAGTCGAAAAGAAATTAAGGTTTTTGATGAAAATATTCCAGGATTTTCTCCATATAATGGACTTCAATGGGAACCAAATGGTTCAAGGTCCAAATGAGAGTTTCAGTGCAGCTTCAAAGGGCTTTAAATGATTCCAGACGATGAATAAGAGTCTTATCAAGTGAAACGATCGCTCATTTAAAAATAAAAAAAGTTGAAGTTTTATAAGCTCAAATGGTCGCCTTGCTCTGTACTGTGATGCGCGTTCGTGACTCTCCTATTCATCGAAATGAATGAATATTTTCCCGAGTCAATTCGTTCATTGAATGAACCAAATGACACGAAAAAAAGATTTGTTCATTTTTTTATAAAGGAGTTTGAATAGGAGAGTCACGAACGCGCATCACAGTACAGAGCAAGGTGACCATTTGAGCTTATAAAACGCAAACTTTTTTTTTTTTTTTTTTACGAGTTTAATTGTCTGGAATCGTTTAAAGCCCTTTGAACAGTTTGCAATGAAACTGTCTTTTGCACCTTGAACCGTTTGGTTCCCAGTAAAATGCATTATATGGAGAAAAATCCTGGAATGTTTTCATCAAAAACCTTAATTTCTTTTCGACTGAAGAGAGAATGACATGGATATCTTGGATGACATGGGGGTGAGTAAATTAACCGCAATTTTTTTTTTTTTAAAGTGAACTACTCCTTTAAAATATTTGCAGATTACATCTCAGATTGGTTGCTTATCATGGGTTTTAATGCATTATACTTTCTACAGGTGTAACAATGAACAGTTAAGTATTGTAATGTACCATAAATGTGATTATTACAATTATTTATGAGACCATGTAAAGCATTGTAAGGTGTTTTAATTAATGCTTTAAAAATACTTACAATAATGCATTTAATACACAGACCTGTGGAATACTTGATTCTGATCAAATCGAATATTTTGAGAGAACCATGAGCTGGATGTACATTATCCCTTAATTATAAGTAAAGTGTAAGTAAAAAATAAATGCTGTTCTTGATAATAAATCCTGCAGTACCGTTTTCAACATTGATAAATAAAATGTTTTTTTTTTAGCAGCAAATCAGCATATAAGAATGATTTCTGAAGGATCATGTGACACTGAAGACTGGAGTAATGATGCTGAAAATTCAGCTTTATATCACAGGAATAAAACATATTCAATAATATATTAAAATACAGAACAGTTATTTTTAAATTGTAACAGTACTTCACAATATTACTGTTTTACTGTATTTTTAATCAAATAAATCAAACTTCTTTCAAAACAATAAAAAAAATCTTACCACCCCAATCTTTTAAACGTTAAAGGAGAACTCTGGCACAAAATGAACCTTTGGTCTAATTTAACATTGGTACCTAGTCAACCGTTCTCTGAGATTTGTTTTCATGATAATCAAATGTAAAGAGTTTTATCTCTAAAAACTGTTTAGCATATAACGCTAGTATATGGGGGCATTTACTAAGTAAAAACAAATCGCTAGTTTATACCACTAACAAGGCTCAAAATAGCCCCACACTAACACAGTAACATAATGAGGGTCCTTACATGCAAAACGAAGCATTGAAAACTTTGTAAGTGTACAGACCGTTTAATAAGAAGATACTTTATAAAGACAATTCACTTTGTGTATACAGACAGGAGCCATCTTTGACAAGTCAAAATAAATCTATTTAGAGATAAAACTCTTTACATTCGATTATCATGAAAACAAATCTCAGAGAACGATCGACTATGTACCGATGTTTTATTAGACCAAAGGTTCATTTTGCGAGATGGTTCTCACTGCAGAACATGAAATCCACGGGATCCTCCTACCTTACATACACCTAAACCTACCCAACTCCGCCCCCTGATCCTTAAACCCAACCCTAATCCTACCCATCTCCACCCCTTGGATCTTGATCCGACTCCTCCCCGTGGATCTCATGTACTGCATTGAGGTGCTACTGAATTTTGCGCCAGAGTTCTCATTTAATGCATTAACAAGTGAGTGTGTTTGCCCAAGAGTATCATCTCTCCACCTGGATTACGTTTCCACTGTTGTCCACTGTAACCATAAGCTTTCCATATTGGTTCTTCTCTTACATATCAAAATGTTATGTTTTAGACATAACCACTGAGCCGCAGTGTCATCATAACGTGAAATGAATACCAGAACGCATTCAGAGGACATGAATATTTTGAGAGAGCAGGTGAAGAGGTTCATGTGTACGGCATCATCGCTGTTGTCTGGTGTAGTTTTACCTGGTCTGGACCGACTCCATCACACTTAATAATTCAGGGTCGTGAATACAGCTAACACCAGTTTCCATACCTGTGTGTGACTGTGTGTGTATTGTGCTGTATAACAGTCTATTTGTCATCATGCATGTTTCTATTAAAAGTACAATTCATAGCGGCTTTGGCTGAATGTCCACAGGTACCGCAGTAATTAGTGTTGTCAAAGAGCACCAGACGCTAATATGATGGATGTGTCTATATGTTTCCGCACGACACTATTTGCGGGGGTTAAGTGGTGCTGTCATTTAACTGGCAAATTAATCCACTCACGCTGCTAGCAGGTTCTGCTTGTCATATAATGATGTATGAAATACAAACATGGCTTCTATGGACGTACCGCTATAGCCTGCAGTCGCTGCTGGTATTTCTCCGCTTCATGTTCCATCCTGGACCTGGAATAAAAGAGACATTGGCTGCATTATTTATTTCCAGGTTGTTGTTTTTTTTTAAAGTCTATTTTAAAACGGGTTTCATTTTAAATGTAAAATCCAGTTACTGTACAGATGATTAAACTTCGCATGGGCTGTTTAAAAATAGCTAAATATTTTAAACATCAATTATGCATTATAATAATTGATTTAAGTAATCACTGAAATTATTATTTTTTAAAGAAATTCAGACTTTTGTTCAATAATGATGCGGTTTTATAAAAATTGCTGTGCAGTAAAAAAAAAAGGTTTTAAGTACAATCACCTTGGATGTTTAAGTCATTTCAACTTAAATTAAACTGACTTAAAAATTCACTTATTTTGATCAGGTGAAGCAATGTAAAAACGTGGTTAACTTATTGATCATGTTTTTTTTTTTTTTTTTACAAAGATTTGTTACAAATGCCTATTTGTATTTCATAAATGCTGTATTAATCAAAGAATCCATGTGCAGTAACGAAAGCAAGTTTTTGCATTCTTATAGATATTCGGGTGAAATTTCATATTGTACTTGTTCAATTCTCATAAACTGCCCCCACAACAGCTCACTTACTGTAAAAACTTAAATTCCTCTACCCATAATACTCTAATCATTTACCAGCAAGCCTTAGTTTCGATGCGTGTCAGATGAATCTTCTGATGAAGCTGGAGTTTACTCTGTACGCTTCAGTGAAGCTTCAGCTGTTTCTCCAAGAATCTGATCAATCCTTATCTTGTTGCCTGGGCTTTTTTCTCTCTCTATTCTCTTTAGATCCTAGTTGCTTTCTTCTTTTAAGACAGTAACGCAACAGACTTTGATGTGTGTTTGGCCATTTCTAAAACCGCCCGTCATGTTTCCCCGTCATGCCGCCCTGGCCCAGTACTGGCTATGCCCCTGATATACAGTCTGACTACTTTTTTATTACTTTTGACCTACCTCATTTATCATATTAATTTGAATAGGATAATCCTGTACCATATATTGATATAAAAATACAAAGAGAAAGAAAATATATTCCATTCTTTACCAAAAATATGGGTTTCACTTTATTCTGATGGTGCATTTAATACATTCAGTTGACTAGAAGTAACATTGCACCTAGAGTGTTAGTACAGTAGTAGTAGACTGTTAGGGTTAGGGTTAGATTACGTTAACATGTAGTTGCAAAATTACTTATAGTCAGTAAAGGGTCGTTAGAGTAGTCATTTTATTATTGATCTATTTATTTATTATTATTCTTTTTAGTAACTAGGGGATATTATTAACCCATCCAAGTTAGTGCACACATTAGGAGCAGTGGGTAGCCAATCGGGAAGTGATTGGTGGTTAGGTGCTTTGCTCAAAGCCACTGCAGTCGTGGGTTTGTGGGTGGAAGAGAGTGCTGTTCAGTCACTCCCCCACCTACATTTCCCTGCCGGTATTGAGAATTGAACCCCTTCAGGTTCTGAGTCTGACTCTCTAATCATTAGGCTCGACTGCCCCTACTATGACTCATAACTATCAGCGTCACTGCTTAGTGTGTCACAGCATGTGCATTAACCACAGACAGGGAACGTTCTCAGAAGACAAACAAATATTGCAGTAACATTCATAGAATATGGTCTTTAATGTTCTCAAAAGACTTATTTATACATCGTTCAAGGAACTTTTTTTCTGAAACACTTTTATTTGGATGTTCATCTAAACTCTTTTAATTTTTTTAACTCGTTTCAGAGAGGATCGTTCCCATAATCCTTGCAAAGTGATCAAATGGAATGTTCCTGTAACATTCATATATAACCAAGATACAACGTTTTTAAAAAATGGATGTCTTGAACTTCCAGAAATAACATTTTCATAACTTAATTAACATTACCAAAAAGATCCTAGAAAATAAAAAAAGCCACGTGATTTTTGGGGGGCGCTCATGCAGTCAAACGCATACATGTAACGTTTTATATGTATTATACTGTATATTGACTGAGCAAAAATGTTTTCCGGAATACATTTGATCATTCCCAAAGCTGTCATACAGGCCTGAAGCGCTAACAGAGAACAGAGAGCTGAGAACAGAAGCTGTTCCCTTCAGGTCATGAACACACACACAGATGGAGCCGTTTGATCCTGGTTGATGTTCGTACCTGGAACCCCCTGAAGGAGAGAGACTGTTTCTTAGGGAGGGGAAAAAACATGGGTGTGTAGAATAAATATATGGAAGTGCAAAGGCTAAACAGAATAAACCCACCTTTGTTTGAGTTTGTGCCAATGAATACAACCAGACCAGTAAATACAGGAAGATTAAACAAAACGCTTCTGTCTTTCCGACTATACAGTAGCTTGTTGCGGAGCTTGTTTTCGACACCGGGTTTCTATGGGAGTGAATCACAGGACTTTTAAACTATGTCAAATGAGGCCCTGACTGTGACAAAGAACCTTCCGGTGTCTCTCATGTGCTTTGCGAGAGAGGAGAGATATGCTTTTACCAAAAATGAAAGTATTTACTCGTCTTCTTCCCCAAGGCTAATGGGTAACTTCCAAACGGCCGTGAGGGGAACAGGCTGTCTCATCAGGGTTCTGGAGACAAACTTTGCCAAGAATAGCACTGAGGAATAAACAAAAACGAGCCTTTGATGATTCATTCTCTTCGGGTCTCAACAGAAAGTTCGATGCTAATTAAAATGTGGAGCTTTGCGTATCCGTCAGGCACAAATAAAGAGAAGAGAAAAAGAGAATAAAACACAACAGAAAAGGCAGGAGAAACAATGCGCTCCTCTGCTTTCTTGTTTTCGCACACTTTATTATCAGGTGTGTCCACCCAAGCTGTTGCTATGGAAACATGGTACAACGACACCAACATGGCTGGGACGATACACCTATCTCTTGATGCGATACTATCACGATATGATATGTATTGCGATTTTTTTTTAACAATCGCGATTCTACAAATATTGCGATTCAATATTACAATATATTGCAATTTTTTAACACTAGACCATCGGGAAAAGTTAAGTCATACACTTATACAGACTGTGCATGATGTATAAGATGATTCATATTGACTGACTTTTTTATCTGACTTTATCTGACTTTTTCATCTGACTTTTTTATCTGACTATTTTCTAGATATTTATTTACTCACTAGAAAACTACAAAAACATGCTTAGATTTTTTTGAGATATTTTTTACATGATTTTTTTAGGTTTATGCTTTAAATAAATCAGTTTGCCAGTATGGTGAGATATTTTCTAGATCTAAGTCTAGTTAAGCAAATTTGCTTACAATTAATGGACATTTCGAGACTAGTATTCATCTGAAAAAAGAAAAAAATGCACAAGACAATAGTTTTTGAGGGACGTATGTGACTGTTAAAAAATGTATTTGTAATTTATTCAAGATAATGTAGTATTGTATGATGCTTCTGAAATAAAAGTCAGATAAAAGTCAATATGAATCATCTTAAACATCATGCACAGTCTGTATAAGTGTATGATTTAACTTTTCCCGATGGTCTAGTGTTAAAAAAATTGCAATATATTGTAATATTGAATCGCAATATTTGTAGAATCGCGATTGTTAAAAAAATCGCAATACATATCATATCGTGATAGTATCGCATCAGGAGATAGATGTATCGTCCCAGCCATAGTAATTAAGGGGGTGTTGGTGTCGTTGTACCATGTTTCCATAGCAACAGCTTGGGTGGACACACCTGATAATAAAGTGTGTGAAACAAGATAGCAGAGGAGCGCATTCACATTCTTTTACTACAGATCACTCGAGCCAAACAAACACGCTTATAAACACAAATTACGCAATCTATCATTTTTTTGTCCGATTTTCATTCTAAAGATGTTAATCTTCATAATATTGTATTATTACTAAGTCTAATTACCCTGTGATTAAATGTACCCAGCAGACAAAGACACACCTGGACACAAACAGGGAACTAATCATCAAGGAAACTACAAAGGACTACAAATTATGGAACAGGAAAAAGGAAAAGAACAGGGCAAAATGCAACCTAAAATTCCCAATAATAAAAACACAAGGTGCACAAACCCGGGAATACGCGAAAAGACTGCTATTCAGAGAATGCGCATTTCACCTTTCTTTGGTAAATTTATTCACTTTTTAAACCAGTTAAAACTTGTGAAAAAATTGCCAGTGCAGTAAAGGAAAACTGACATTGAAGATACAGTCTATAGAAACAATTCTTAACATCGGAGTGTTGCTACTTGCTTCCGAGAAAATATCTAGTTTAAAAGATTTTTAGATTTTAAGTAAAAAAAAAAAAGTGCATGGGTGTGCAAAAACTAGCAAGTTTTGACTTCAGTCTTCAAATTAAGTCATGCTCCAGAGCACTTGTAAATACAGCAATGAGCAGAGGTGACATGGTTTTAGGTCAAATATGTGTGGTGGGACAGTCGGACGGAGTGTATATTTACCTTGCTGGAGACCAGGCCTGACTGACATACTCTACTGGAAACCGTGAGAGATGAAAGGAGCCTCAGGGGGAAGGGGATCATGGGAACTGAGATGAAACTCTCTCTCACCTTCAGATGCATACACACATACCGACACAGCCCCTGCCACTAATATTCCCAACCGTTTACATTAAGGAAGGCTGCAAATGTAGCAGAAAATTGAATAATGGCTCTACTACACTATTCTACACTACCCATCCTCTGAATTATGCACATGAGAAACCCTGAGGAAAGAAAGCAAGTCAGCACCGACCGTTGTGTATTTGCTCGAAAAATTCTTTCATTCTTTATGTCAAAAGTTGTGTATACTGCCTCACCACCACAATCACTCACATTCTAGATGTTTGCCAGGACACTGCTATGCAGCTGCTAAGATTAAAGAGTGTCACACTGGTTACTTGCAAGTCAAAACCCACCTGATATTCTGGCCTCTATTTGGCTCAGGTCTCTAAGTCTATGGGCTTTAGTTTTGTTTTGCCTGAAAATCTTGCAGGAAGGTTCTGTACAAGTAAACTCAATCG